ATATAATACTGCGTACTGATCCACAATACTGTCGGTGACGAATTGCAAATCATGCAAATAATTCATTACCTGCTACAGGTTGTGCTGCCGTAGATAACAAAAGCAGAATCACAAACACGGTCTTAGTTAGCTTAGACATCTACAAAGGAAAATATCGTTAAAAGATCAAGTTCCTGGTCAGCGACAAAATTGACCGAGCGAGGTACTTTAGATGTTCCAAAACTACAAATTTTAAAATAGAAATACACCATTCTTAAAGCCGTACACCCAGGTAGGCCCGGCCCCTCCCTGGTGAGAGAAGTCGCATGAGAGATGATCAGTTTAATTATTGCATTTGTTAAAAGAAAATATTTGAAAAATCTCTTCGGGGGTCAGTAGTCGACACCAGCTATCGTCTGGAAATTGCATGATGGGATATTGCGTCATAAGCTAAAAGATAAAAATAAGCTACCAGTTGGAGCTTCAAGTGTATTTTTTGGTTACTTTTAACTCATCCACGCTTTCTGTGTTGGCGTTGTTGGAAATTTGCTTGAATAACTTTACAAGTAACATATTTTGACGTTTTAGTGAACTTTTTAGGACAGGTTTTATCTAGCAGCCTTCTGTGTTGGCAATTCACCTGAATTGAATAACTTTAGGCCTACGCGTACCAGATTGTTGACTTTTTAGTTCTTTCTAGGACCAAAAATCAGATTACATGGTCAATGCCAGACGATAGCAAAGTGTCGACTGACTGACCCCCGAAGGGCCAGACATAAAAATGAACAGTCTTTCAAAATAAGCCTACCAAATGCCATATGCCTAGATTTATTCAATTGAATTGCCAACACACAAGTCAAGCAGTATCACACGCTCCCGCTGGGATCATATGTTTTTTTTAGTACGTATGCTCCTATTCGAAACATAACTAAAGACAAACAATCCACCGCCCAATCCTACTTGAATATTTTCATTGGGAAAATCACAGTAGTGTATTAAACTAGGTTTCAGGAACTTATAACTTTATATAAGGCCTACTCCTTTACGTGCTGGCATTTGTTCTGAACTTGATCCTTTTATACTATACACACCTAAAACAAACTTAACAGCTGTCGCCAAATGTTTTTTTGCATTTTCACCTTTTCCCTGGAACCAACTTCCCACCACCATCCGTTATGCTCCAACTCTATCTGAATTTAAATTTCTTCTTCACACTCACCTTTTTCCATAGTTCATAATTTTAAGCGCTGTTAGACTCTGGTAAAGAGCGCTATATAAATGACTGAATATTATTATTATTATTATTCTTATTCTTATTATTATTATTATTATTATTATTATTATTATTATTATTATTATTATTATTATTATTATATCAGCGTTATTTACGACTTTTATATAAAGCTACTTGTCAGCCAATGATACTTTTTATGACGTCACCGAGTCACGTGTTATTACCAAGACGTAAAGCCTGTAAAGGTAATAATTTTCCCGGTTAGTAATTTATGGCCCAGTGTGATTTTCACTAAAAAATTGCACATTTTAGGGAGATTTGACAGGATTTTTTTTTATCATTTTAGACGAAATTGGATAAAACTCGAAGATTTTTGCGCGCTTCGCGCGCATTTTCTATGGTTAAAATTTGTGCTTTCCGCCTTTTCAATGTTCTAAAAACTAATAATATACGAGAAAGTGTAAAACACAAAGTGCCTGCCTGGGAATAAGATGCACCAACGGATTGGGAGAATATTACAATGTACGTTTTCCGCAGCCTGTTTATCTAATTTACATCAGACATGTATCACGCACAAATATTTCGCTCTAACTCTGTGGACACTTTTTGAAGTGGAGAATTGGTATTGTGATACATGATCATATATCTTCCTTTCTATTCTTGTCTTTATTTTTCTCTTCTCTTTATCTATTCCTTTTTCCCTTCCTTAGGTTTTTCTTTTCTCCTTCTTTCTCTTCCCCTCCCTTTCCCTCTTCTTACCCAGCCCGGTACGACGGCTTGGTCCGCCCGGTAAAATCTTCCCCCACTTCCCCGCCTGTTACGCTTCTGCCTACATAGGCCTATTGTTTATTATCACTAAAATGTTTAGTACAATGTAGAACAGTTCCAGACTGTATAGTAAGGCCTGCGCGAGGATATTCTCCACTTAAAAATTACGATTCCACGCACCTATTTTGCTGGCGATTTTCCGCGCAAATTTGAGCTGATTTTTTAGATATCCTCCGCTCAATTGAACTTTACAGTATGGATACAGCCGTGTTGCTTTTATATTCTCTTTTAATAAATGCAATAATTAAACTGATAATCTCTCATAATAATAATAATAATAATAATAATAATAATAATAATAATAATTCTGGATTTATATAGCGCCTCACGTTGTCACACCTCGAGGCGCTTAACAACAACAGAGAGAACTTAAAAAACAAAGAAAACCAAAACAAATGTGCAAATGTACATTATATCATGCGATATAGGGTCACACTTTTCCTCTGTCCGTGACACTATCGCATGTAATAATTATAACAGTGTCATTAGTTAACTTAAACCATTACAATCTATGATTAAATCACAACTTACATTTCGGTTATAGTATAAGCAGGGTTAGTTGAGCACACTCACAATCAAGCTGTTCAGTTTGAATAACAGTTAAACAGTAGGCCCAACGTGACAAATTTATCTATTAAGTATTATCTAAATAAGGTATTTATAGGCCTATGGATTTTCCAGTGGTAATTTATTAATGTTGTCAAATGATTGCACGTTACCTAGTTTACTTTTTCCGGAAGGTTAAATCCAGAAATGACGTTACGCCCCCTATATTTAATCTTATCCCTTTTCCTTTTCGCTTATATTAGAAGCTTCTCATGCGGTGGGTGGTTCGCGTATAGCTCAGCTTGTATTACTCAGCGTTGTGCAATGTATTCGAGGTATTATTTACTGTAAGGTATTTTAACTGCGTAGATGATATCTCAAAAACTAGTTTAAAAAAATAAAATTACCTGGCAAATCAAAAAGATCTCCTTAAAATGTGTAGTTATAGGTATGTTGATTCCACTTCAAGGTGTTGTGTAAGCATGACGTACCATAAAGTTTAATAATGTCAGTTTAAACTGAGGGAGTATTGATTTTATAATACATCAATAAATCCTTTATTTTAAGCCAGCAATATAAGTCATAAATCCATAATAAAGATTCTCAACTCAACAATTTCCAAGTTGATTCGTATCAATGAACAATTCCTCATGTCTTATTAACAACCGTAGAACACCCCCCACTCATGTACTCATAGACATGCATGATACAGAAAATCCGTAGAATGTTACTATTTTTTCAAAGCCAACGGTTCAACCTTTAACTAAAGAAATTCCAACGTTTGAATTTAACCCTGTGGCTAGTGCTTTAACCAAAAACGAATGGGGTGAGTAAAGGTTGGCACCACACGGTCGATGTCTTAAATATAAGGATACATACCATATTTATTAATTTCTAATTTTGTATTTGAGTTAATTTTGAAAATCCCTGAGTCGCAAAAAAGGTGATATTAGATGATTGTTAACTACTTAAGCATGTTTTTTTCCCTTCGGACATTTTAAATGGTGGTTAGGGGAAGGGGCGACAATATAGGTAATAAAATAACCAGGGATCGAATTATAGGCCTATGCATAATTTTGTGTTTTTGTTATACATTGGGTTGAGGTTTGCATTGTTTGATTGCGTTTTTCCATTGTTTGTGGTTACTGTTGACCACGGTTGACTGAAAATGTTAGTTCATCAACCACATCTGTGTCATGACGAGACAATAACTCCATAGTGGTGCTGATTTAAACCATATAACATTTTTTGTAACACCCCTGACGAAAATCCTAAATCCACCACAAAGGTAGTGTGTCTCTAGTCCTAAATTATAGGTACCGTCTGTAGAGAAAAAAAATTAAAATCTCTAAAGATTTTAAACTTTTCATTAATAAGTATCAAATAAGCATGTAGTAGGCCTACGTAAGTTGCAAAATAGATGCAAAGTAATGACTATGAGATGGCCAAATCGTTCAGCAAAAACTTCAATAACTTCCAAAAACACAGATAAAAATGTTTCAGTTTACATACGTTTTAATGCAAGAATCCCTAAGTTGAATACCAGATTTTATGGTCTATATGCAAGTATAAGATAGGGGAACTTTAATTTTTAAGTTTAAAATTATAATTTTTAATTAAAAGATACTACAGTAATTTAATAAGCTGCTTTCTTTTAAAAAGCTGCTTTTCTGCACAGAAAACAAAATTAAAAATCTGTAGCATCAGCCAATCAGAGCACCACAACTGTTTATATTTTTAAAAAAAAGAAATAGCAGAATAATTTTATGTCCAATTAAGCTTTTAATGATGAGCGTTATGGCTACAATGTCTAATGATTGTATAAGCATGCTCGATTTATCTTTCGTCATCTAGAAATCTATTGGCGGCAGCTCCTGCACAACCACCAACTGTTGCAGCTGTGGCAGCCATCCCTGCAGTCAACCCTGCAGCTCCGATTGACTGCATTGTAGCAACCACGCCGCCCGCTACTACTCCTCCTCCACTAGCTATCGCTGAGGCGGACATCATCCCAGCTGCTGCGGTTCCAGCAGCAATACCGGTTGCACCAAACCCCAGAAGCGATGGAACACCTGCGGCCGCTAGTACACCACCGACTGCCCCCGCTGCAGGTAGCAGAAAAATGAACCCTGAAAATATCATATTTACAGTTTTTAAGTTTGGTATCTTAGTAGGAACTTTCTTCTATGTCTGCATGCACTAACTAATTCGTTTCTTTGGTTAAGTGTACTGGAGAATACTATCTAAATGCAAGCCATAAACGATGCAACCTATGCATGCAAACTTCAAAGGCATTAATTTAAAATTCAAAGCAAAATCCAACTCGTTAGATCTTGAAGGCCGCAAACAATCATGATCTAATCATAACACAGGCACATGCAAACTATGTACGGACAACCAAAAAGAAACTGTAAAACATTTCTTATTTGACTGTACTAGATTAAATTTTATTAGAGATATTACATTCTCAAATATTAGGGACAGTCTTCACGAAAATAGTTTAAGTGGCATAGTTTTAAAAATGGATCACAGCAATTTAAACGTCACCTTATGCTTGATGATATGTATATAGAAAATGTAACATTAGGACAATTAATTTTTGATTTCCATTGTAAAGAATATTTAATTAATGCATGGACAAGTAGATCTTTGATGCTATCTACATTACCCTCCTAAACAAATTAAACTGTACTTTAATTTTTTTTTCTTTCTTTTCCCTTACTGTTACTGTAGTAGTTAAGTTTGTAAGTTGTTTGTTATTAAGCCTTTATTTTTTGTTATCATTATTTATTATTTTATTACACACCTAAATTTCTCTTTGTCATTTGAATTGTTTAAAAAAAGTGGGGGTGAAGAGGGGAAGGGGAAAAAAGAAGGACGGGGAGAAAAAAAGAAGAAAGAGAAAAGGAAAAGAAAGGAGAAGGAAAAGGAAGAAACAAATTATTATTACTTTTGGTAGTTATGATTGTAATTCTTCAAATGACAAGGACCTTTTTTAGGTGTGTTTCAAATTTAAGACCAACAGTACTGATTGTAATTGAGTAATACTCTGAAACTTAGACTGCTTCATTCGGCTAAGCTCCGCCTTGTAGATTTGGGCAGCCCATCTCTTAGTCATGGAATACGGTATTCCTTCCATCGTACTAATTAATTTTTACTTTCTATCATTTTGATTCGTTTTTTTTTATACTTGATTGGTTTTTTTTAAATCTTTTTTTGTATTTTGTAAAATGTTGCTTGTTATTTGGATGCGCCACCAGATGGTGTGTGCCACTGATACAAAAGTGTTCCAATAAAGTTTTAAAGTTCTAATAGTTCTATATAGGGAACAGCATTTTCCTGTGTAAAATGACGCATCGCAATATGTCTCGAGTGTGTACTGCATAATAGTCCAGTCACCCTTTCAATTCAGTTTCGGACCAATTCATCATATTGAATGATAATTTTCCTACTGGGGTAATGATGCAAACATATAAATAAACAACAGTAACTGTACACAACAAATATGATTAACATTAATTTATTGATTTCAAGAATAATGCAAAATGTGTGTCACTATCTCACTCAATCCGTCACATTGCAGTAACAAATACTTTCTATGTAAAATGACTAATGGCTATATTTTATACGCAAAATAAGTAGTGCAGGGGCAGATTTAGATGAGGCTAAACAAGTTGCAGATCTTTCCTCTCTCAAAATGTGTACGTTTTCATGACTGAAATAATAGCCTAGTATACGTTAGCCATAAATTTAAACTTTTATTTAGGACCTGAAAATACTAGTTTATCAACCACGCTTGTGCCATGAGGAGACCATACTTCCATGGTGCTATGATTCAAACTATCTGAAATATTTGGTAGTCCCCCATCACGAAAAATCATTCATTTACCATTGAGGTAGTGTGTCTCAAGCCCAAATACCGGTACTGTCCCAAATGATACAGGAACCATCTAGAGAACAAAATTATTAAAAATCTCAAATAAGCATGTAATACTAGGTTGCAGAATGGATGACGACAAAAACAGCATAGATCCCGCGCCTAGGAGATGGCTAACTCATTTACCAAAAAATTAAATAACTTCCAAAAACAATGATCAAAATATTTCAGTTGTCGCTTAAATACAGTTGATTACTTGTTCATTTTATGGTCTGTACAGTATCCCAAAAAAGGTAGGAAACACTAATTTTTATGTAAATAAGCTGCTTTATAATACACAAGAAACTATACTAAAAATACAGCAAAGCAACATTTTTTTAACTTTCAGCCAATCAGAACACAGCAAATTTTTATATTTTTTAAAACACGCAGAACAAATGTGAAATACTTCGATGGTAATTTTATACCGTACGTAATCACTACAAGGTTAAATTGTGGTATAGGCATGCTCGATTTATCTTTCGTCTTCGTATTCATCAAGATAATCGACGACTTTAAATTAAAGCTATGATAGTTCCTGCAACGCCACCAGCTGTTGCAGCTGTAGAAGCTACCCCTGCAGTCAGCCCTGCAGCTCCGATTGACTGCATTGTAGCAACCAGGCCGCCCGCTATTACTCCTCCTCCGCTAGCTACCGCTGAGGCGGACATCATCGAAGCTGCTACGCTTCCAGCAGCAATACCGGCTGCACCGAAACCCAGAATCGCTGGAACAGTGGCGACTGTTGCAACACCTCCTGCTGCCCCCACCACAATAGGTATAAGAAAAAATAACCCTGAAAATAATTAAATTACATATCACAACTGATAAAAAATATCCTTCAGTCATTCGAAGGAGTTCGGTGACAAGTTAATAATTAGGCAAAATAGAGATTGTTATACATAGTTTATATCAGTAGTGTTTTTGATCCAGCTGAATGCTAAGACTTTATTTGGGTGTGAATAAACTATCCATAGTTGAACAGGAATATAAATACATCTGTGGTTATAAAATGAATACAGGATAGGCTTATATAATAATATACGCATAAGTTTAAACAATATAACACATGATAGCATAATGTAAGACTGATAGGCCTATACATAGTCATTATTTAATAAAGTTCAGGAATAAAATTAAAATAAATCAAGGAATATAGTAATATTCAATAATATGTATAGCATTATTAGACTGATATTCATAGTGAATGATTGCGTATGAAGGCATTTAAATGTAGAAACTAAGTCCTAATTTTGTCCTTTTATATGAGTTTTCGTAGATAACAAAAGCAGAATCACGAACACGGTCTTAGTTAGCTTAGACATCTACAAAGGAAAATATCGTTTAAAAAATTCAAGTTCCTGGTCAGCGACAAAATTGACCGAGCGAGGTACTTTAGATGTTCCAAAACTACAAATTTTAAAATAGAAATACACCATTCTTAAAGCCGTACACCCAGGTAGGCCCGGCCCCTCCCTGGTGAGAGAAGTCGCATGAGAGATGATCAGTTTAATTATTGCATTTGTTAAAAGAAAATATTTGAAAAATCTCTTCGGGGGTCAGTAGTCGACACCAGCTATCGTCTGGAAATTGCATGATGGGATATTGCGTCATAAGCTAAAAGATAAAAATAAGCTACCAGCTGGAGCTTCAAGTGTATTTTTTGGTTACTTTTAACTCATCCACGCTTTCTGTGTTGGCGTTGTTGGAAATTTACTTGAATAACTGTACAAGTAACATATTTTGACGTTTTAGTGAACTTTTTAGGACAGGTTTTATCTAGCAGCCTTCTGTGTTGGCAATTCATCTGAATTGAATAACTTTAGGCCTACACGTACCAGATTGTTGACTTTTTAGTTCTTTCTAGGACCAAAAATCAGATTACATATGGTCAATGCCAGACGATAACAAAGTGTTGACTGACTGAACCCCGAAGGGCCAGACATAAAAATGAACAGTCTTTCAAAATAAGCCTCCAAATGCCATATACCTAGATTTATTCAAGTGAATTGCCAACACACAAGTCAAGCAGTATCACACGCTCCCGCTGGGATCATATGTTTTTTTAGTACGTATGCTCCTATTCGAAACATAACTAAAGACAAACAATCCACCACCCAATCCTACTTGAATATTTTCATTGGGAAAATCACAGTAGTGTATTAAACTATGTTTCAGGAACAATTATAACTTTATATAAGGCCTACTCCTTTACGTGCTGGCATTTGTTCTGAACTTGATCCTTTTATACTATACACACCTAAAACAAACTTAACAGCTGTCCCCAAATGTTTTTTTGCATTTTCACCTTTTCCCTGGAACTTCCCACCACCATTCGTTATGCTCTAACTCTATCTGAATTCAAATTTCTTCTTAACACTCACCTTTTCCCATAATTCATAATTTTAAGCGCTGTTAGACTCTGGTAAAGAGCGCTATATAAATGACTGAATATTATTATTATTATTATTATTATTATTATTATTATTATTATTATTATTATTATTATTATTATTATTATTATTATTATTATTTATTATTATTATTTATTATTATTTATTATTATTATTATTATTATTAAATCAGCGTTATTTACGACTTTTATATAAAGCTACTTGTCAGCCAATGATACTTTTTATGACGTCACCGAGTCACGTGTTATTACCAAGACGTAAAGCCTGTAAAGGTAATAATTTTCCCGGTTAGTAATTTATGGCCCAGTGTGATTTTCACTAAAAATTGCACATTTTAGGGAGATTTGACAGGATTTTTTTTATCATTTTAGACGAAATTGGATAAAACTCGAAGATTTCGCATTTTCTATGGTTAAAATTTGTGTTTTCCGCCTTTTCAATGTTCTAAAATCTAATAATACGAGAAAGTGTAAAACACAAAGTGCCTGCCTGGGAATAAGATGCACCAACGGATTGGGAGAATATTACAATGCGATGTACGTCTTCCGCAGCCTGTTTATCTAATTTACATCTGACATGTAACTCTCACAACTATTTCGCTCTAACTCTGTGGACATTTTTTGAAGTGGAGAATTGGTGTTGTGATACATGATCATATATCTTCCTTTCTATTCTTGTCTTTATTTTTCTCTTCTCTTTATCTATTCCTTTTTCCCTTCCTTAGGTTTTTCTTTTCTCCTTCTTTCTCTTCCCCTCCCTTTCCCTCTTTCTTTCCTCTTCTTACCCAGCCCGGTACGACGGCTTGGTCCGCCCGGTAAAATCTGCCC